ATCTCTGTGAGTTCGAGGCCAGCCTGTTCTATGGATCCAGTTCTAGGACAGGCTCCAAAGCTACACAGAGAAACCCTATCTTGAAAAAAAAAGACGAAGAAAGAAAAGAAAGAAAAACATCCAGAGCACTCAATAGAAAGTGGAGTTTGCAAGTGGGCCTGGGTAGGTAGCTTAAGTGCTAGAGGGCTTGCATACATGAAGCTCTAGGTTTGATTCCCAGCACTACATATACCTATATCATGCTGAATGCCTGTAATCCCAGCACTTGTGAGGCAAGAGAATTGTCATGAGTTCAAGGCTAGCCTGGTCTTTATAGCATGACCCTTTCAGGAAAAAAAGTCAATTGATAAATATAAATAAAATTGTTAAAAATATATAACAAAAATATGCGGTTAGAGAGATGGCTCAGCAGTTAAAAGCACTGACTGCTCTTCCAGAGGACCTGGGTTCAATTCCCAGCACCTATATGGTAGCTCACAACCATCCAATTCCAGGAGATCCAACACCCTCTTCTGGCCTCTATGGGCAGCAGTCATGCACATGGTACCCAGACATACATGTAGGAAAACTACTCACATACATAAATAAGTAAATATAAACAAAAACACTTAAAATAATTGGTGATAGTTAAAATATAATGATCCAGAAGAGGGAGACCTAAGAGCAGCTGGTCTCTTTCTATAGCTCTGTTGATAAAAATGAAGCCCTGACTAGATCTGCAGAACTGCATAAACTGCATAAAGCTAGTATGGTGTGGCACATGCCTCTGGATGTGGAAGCGGGAAGAAAAAAAAATTTTTTTTGAGACAAGATTTCTCTGTGTAGATAAGATTAAAGGTGTGTGCTATCATGCCCCCCATAGGAAGAAATGTTTAAGCTATATAGTTTGAGGCCAGCCTAGGCTGTATTAGACCCTGTCTCATAAAATATAACTAAGTAGATGCTAGAGAGATGGTTCAGTTGTTAAGAGCACTTGTTGCTCTTGCAGAGGACTCAGGTTCAGTTCGCAGTACCCACCTCTCAAATCATCCATAACTCCAGTTCCAGGAGGTCCGAAGCCCTCTTCTGACTTCTGTAGGCACCAGGCTTGCACATAGTACACATGCATACAAACAAGCAAAACACTAAGACACATAAGTAAATATTTGTTTGTTTGGGAGGTTCCTTGTTTATAATTTATTTTTATTTTATGTACATTGGTGTTTTGCCTGCATATATGTCTGTTGTGAGGGGGTCAGATCCCTTGGAACTAGAGTTGCAGACAATTGTAAGCTGCCACGTGGGTGCTGGGAATTGAATCTGGGTTCTCTGGGAGGGCAGTCAGTGCTCTTAAAGGCTGAGCCATCTCCCTAGCCCCATTTTTTGGTTGTATAGGGTTTTGTTGTTGTTGTTTTTGTTTTGAGACAGGTTTTCTCTGTGTAGCCTTGACTGTCCTGCAACCAGACTGTCCTCAGACTCAGAGATCTGCCTGCGCCTCCTGAGTTCTAAGATTAAAGGAATGCACTACCACTGTCCAGCTTTTCACATAAATAAATCTTTTGTTATTTGTTTGGTTGGGTTTTTTTGTTTTTTTTTGGGGGGGGGGTATTTTTTGTTTTTTTCGAGATAGGGTTTCTCTGTGTAACAGCACTAGCTCTCTTGGAACCAGCTCTGTAGATCAGGCTGGCCTCGAACTCACAGAGATCCACCTGTCTCTGCCTCCAAAGTGCTGGGATTAAAGGTGTGTGCCACCACCGCCCGACATTTTTGAGACTTCTTTTTATTTTATATGTATTGGTGTTACAAACTAAACTTTTATCAGCTGTTTAAGCCTATTTCTTCCACTCTTTCCGTTCAGCTTTTATTTAAGTTTCCAGCTAGATTCTTGGCTCCTTTTGGTAGTGGCTGACTTACATCTTTGTGTATGAACTAACATGTATTTTTTGTAGTCCATGCCTTATACTCAACCCTTTCTCATATAGTTTATTTTATTGAGTCCTCACAACAAATTATAAAAATAGATATTAGTTTCCCTATTTTATCAATAAAGACATTGGGCTTCAGAAAGGTTAAGTAACATATCCAGAGCCTGTAACTAATCAGTGGGTTTGTCCAGTGCCTGCATCACAATAGTTTGTTCAGATAGAGATGTAGCTTAGCATATACACAGCCCTGAGCTCAGTCACAGTACACACACACACACACACACACACAAAGGGACGGAAAATTTGCAAATAATACATACCTAAATGTGGGATATTTGTATACTGTGTGAATATGTATTTGCTGTGATTGGTGTGATAAAAAGCTGAAGAACCAATAGCGAGGCAGGAGGCATAGGCAAGATTTCCAGGAAGAGAATGGAAGAGGAGGAGAATCTAGGGGCACAAGACACCAGGAGACATGGAGAGGAAACAAGAGGTGCAAGATGAAAGAGAGGTAATGTCACGTGATAGAACATAGATTAATATAAATGGTTTAAGAGCTAGTTAAGAACAAGCCTAAGTTATAGGCCGAGGTTTCATAATAAGTCTCCGTGTCATTATTTGGGAATTGGCTGGCGGGACAGAGAAAGACTCGTTACACCTAGGAAGAGCAACAACAACAAAACAATAGACATAGCTTATGCTTTCATTTCTGCCTTTCCTGGCACTGCTCTGCAATTCAGAGCATCCTGCAAATCTTTCCAAACCAAAACTCCTGCCATGGAGATGGCTCAGTGTGGAAAGGCAACTTAGTACCAAGCCACGTGATCTTCAGGACCCACATCGTGAAAGGAGAGTCAACTTTTGTAGAGAGTCAACTTTCAGCTCCTGAAAGTTGTCCTCAGACCTCTGCATGTCCCTACCTCACCCCATAAATAGAGAAATAAATGTAAGAAAAATATTTGTTTCAAACCAGAATTCAATTGAAATCAAAATCTGACATGGCAGTTGTCCACTTATATCAAGTCATAGGAAGTTGTAATCAGATGCTTCCTGTCCCAATTGCCCAGTCCCAAATAACCTATTCAGAGGCTGAATATGAATAATAAATGTTCGGCCTATAGCTCAGGCTTGTTACTAGCTAACTCATAGCTTTAAATTAACCCATATTTCTATTTATTCTTTGCCACATGGTGGTACCTTTATTAGCATGGCAAGTTCATCTCTTGCTCCCTCTGCATTTGGCTGGCGACCCCTCACTCCACCCTTCTCCTTCCCATCCTTAGTTTGGTCACCCCACCTGTATACTTCCTGCCTGGCTACTGGCTAATCAGTGTTTTATTAAACCAATTCAGTAAATCTTTACAATATACAAGAGAATTATTCCACAGCATTTCCCCTATTTTGTCTAATTAAAAAGGAAGGTTTTAACTTTAACATAGTAAGATTATATACAACAAAAAGTTACCAAGTAAGAATTACAGTTATAATATCCAGTCTATTTGTATTTTGCAAAATTGGAGAAAATACTGTATTATCTATCTTATCTTTGTGAGTCCAAAGTTTTGTACCTAATTTATCTTTTATCATAACTAAAGAAAACTATAGCTATCTTGTCTTCACCTCCATCAAAGACCCCAGAAGGGTGAAATATTACCTAATTACAGGGACATCAGGCTGCCTGGACAGTTACCCAAGGTTCCTCTGCAACGTTGGGGCATCCATCTTTGGCCTACAGGCCTAGCACATCTGATAGACTCCTCTGTGAAGCAGGACTTTCTAAAGAGCCTTCCTACCTTGTTTTGGCAAGGATCGGCAGTCCTTTTGTGTCCTGCTTGTCCGTTTTGGACAGCATACTGTCAGTAGTCAAGGCAAGGGCACTTTCTTGCCCAGTGGCTAACTTTTACCACAAAAAAAGTAAACTCTATGAAGTTTCTTCAATGCCCATCATCTTCTCTGAAGTAGATTGGTGCTGCCAGGAGCAGTCATGTCTCATGGTCATAAGAAAAAGAAAAAAATCTATGTTATTAAAACATCTTAAATGCCATGTTCTATAGATCTCTGAAATATATGAAGATGACCTGTATATCTAAGATATATCTGTTTGATCTTGAAAACATACCTAACATAACTACAAGTTTGATTGTAATGACTACTTTCATTTCTTTATATCCTAATTAGTTGGTAATAATAACTTTCAAGGACTAGGATTTGCATTACATTGTTAAATGAACTGTATAGGTACAATACCTTGAACAAGATTAGAAATATATATACAGTATTTTCTAACAAAATCAATCTCAAATTTGCATCTATATATAATTTGTATACAATATACAAAAATCCAATCCAATGTAAAATATTTAAAATAGTAGTTGCCTTTTAAAAGTAGATTCAATAATCTACCTTTTTATCTTATCAGAAAGTCATTAAATAACTCAAAAGTCCAATAGAGAGCCGGGCGGTGGTGGCGCACGCCTTTAATCCCAGCACTCGGGAGGCAGAGCCAGGCGGATCTCTGAGTTCGAGGCCAGCCTGGGCTACCAAGTGAGTTCCAGGAAAGGCGCAAAGCTACACAGAGAAACCCTGTCTCGAAAAACCAAAAAAAAAAAAAAAAAAAAAAAGTCCAATAGAAAATAGTATTTTGGGTGTTTAGATTAAGGCAATTAGAGCTGGCTAAATGGTTCAACAGAGAAAGGCACTTGCTGCCAAACCTAGCGACCTGAGTTCAATCCCCAGAGCCCACATGGTAGAAGGAGAGAACCAACTCCCAAATTGTCCTCTGACCTCTATAGGCTCACCATGGCACTAATGTAGAATAAACAAATAAATGTAATAAAAAATAGATTTCAGTGACTAATGAAATATTCTAGTGGTTCAGTATAGAGCACTTGTTAGTATGTGTAAGGCCCTATGTTCAGTCCCAAGCACTGCTCAAACAATAGCACAACATGCCCTCATCTTACTCTGTACCTTGCTTTGAGTTCATGCAGTGTGATGTGAAGAGAATCTCAAAAATATCACACCTTATTAAGGTATTGGCTGGAAGTCAGTATTACTTTCAGAATATTCTTTATTTTCTTTTTCCTCTCCTAGGGCTACACATCTTTCTGGAACGACTGTATATCCTCTGGGCTTCGAGGAGGCATCCTGATAGAGCTCGCCATGCGGGGTCGAATCTATCTGGAACCTCCCACCATGCGTAAGAAGCGACTCCTAGACAGAAAGGTACACTATCCTCTGAATTGTGGAGAGTCAAATAACAACAGTACATTTCAGAAGAATAAGAATATTTGAGAGCTGAAGAGATGGTTCAGCAGTTAAATCATTTGTTGTTCTTACAGAGGACCCAGGTTTGGTTCCCAATACCCACATGGTGGCTAACAACTGTCTCTAACTCCAATTCAACTTGGCTCTCTCAAAGCAGTCAAAGGCCAGGCTTGACAAAATCCCCCAAATTAACTTACTTTTCCTATCTTCCTGCCTTTATTAGTGGTTTTCCAAACTCAGAAAGATAGTATGGAATCTTTTGTCCATTTTATTTATAGCATTTGCTACTAGGTCCCAGTTCAGATGTAATTTTGTCTCCCTACTACGAAGTCATACTACATATTAAACTCTTCCATGACATGGGCAGTCTGTTCCGCTTCCTGACACCTCCTAACCAGCAGTGTGTGTATTGTACACAGAAGGATTTTCATCTGAGTGAAGCAGTGTCCTCTGTTTCTTTCTTTAAGGTCCTGCTAAAGTCAGACAGCCCAACGGGTGATGTTTTGCTGGATGAAACTCTCAAGCATATCAAAGCGACTGAGCCAACAGAAACTGTCCAGACGTGGATAGAGCTACTCACTGGTGAGCTGACTGAAAATCACGCCCCAGCCCCACCCTTGGTTATCTTAGCCTACAGGTAAGGTTAGAGGGAAATAGACAAGAGCAGCGTGCTAGGTAAGGTAGTGGCTAACCAGCACCTAAAGCTTTCACAAGCATGGCAGCTTAGCATCTGCAGTCCTACTCTGAAAGGTGTTTTGCTTTCTAACAGGATCTCAGATGGCCCAGACTTTCCTTGAACTTGCTGTGCAGCCAAGGATGATCCAGAACTTATCCAGCCGAGGAACTTTTTTTTTTTTTTTTTTTGAGACAGTATCTCATATATCCCAGACTGGCCTCAAACTTGCTATGTAGCCGAGGATAACCTTGAAGTTCTAATCCTATTGCCTTCGCCTCCTAAGTGTAGGATTATAGGCATAAACCATCACTCTACTTCCTGCGGTGCTAAGGATCAAACCCAGGACTTCAAGGATGCTAGGGAAGCACTGGACCAACTGAGTTTTATTCCCAGACCTTCCCAAGAAACTTTGTATTTATGTATTTTTTTCTGATTGTGTGTGTGTGTACTGACGTGTGGGAGTGCACATGCAAAGGTCAGAGGACAGCTGTTTGTATTTATGTATTTTTATGATTGTGTGTGTGCTGATCTGTGGCAGTGCACATGCGAAGGTCAGAGGACAGCTGTTTGGAGGTGGCTCTCCTTCCACCTTCAGTTGTTAGGCTTTGTGCCAAGTGTTTTCACCTGCCAAACTATTTCACCAACCCTTTTTAAAATAAACATTAGTAAAGCTTATTAAACTTTTTAAAAAAGCATTATTAGCCAGGAATGGTGGTATATACCTATAACCCTAGTACTTGTAGAATTACTGATAGTTCAAGGCCAATCTGGGTTACATTTGGAAACATTGTTTAAAAAACACCAAAAAATGGGTTTAATTCCCAGTACCCTCCCCAAAAAAGCATGTGCATAAGAACTAAAGTAAAAATTAGAGTCTGGAGAGATGGTTCAATGGTTAGAATGAACACTACTCTCAAAGAGGATGCAAGTTCAGTTCCTGAACCCATGTCTGGCGGCTTACAACCCCTGTAACTATAGCTCCAGAAAATTTGATGTCCTCTCTGGCCCCTTTGGGAGTGCACATGCTCATGAGAGTGCACACACACACACACACACACACACACACACACACACACACACGATAAATTTTTTTATTTAAAAAAAGTTAAAACGCCAGGCGGTGGTGGCACACGCCTTTAATCCCAGCACTTGGGAGGCAGAGCCAGGTGGATCTCTGTGAGTTCGAGGCCAGCCTGGGCTACCAAGCTAGTCCCAGGAAAGGCGCAAAGCTACACAGAGAAACCTTGTCTCGAAAAACGAAAAAAAAAAAAAAAAGTTAAACCAGCTGTAGTAGCAAAAGCTTGTAACCTCACCATGTGGGAAGCTAAGGCAAAGTTTCAAGATCAGCCTGGTATTCATAGTAAAACCCTATCAAAATAATAATAATATTTATTGAGATGACAACCAGGGCATTGACATAGTAAAATCTTTCCATCTTGAATATCCCAGAATTATCTGTTTTTACAGCTAATATTTTATGAATTTATATGCCACATTTGTTTGGTCATTTAGCTGATGGATATTTGAGTTACACTACTTTTTTTTTTTTTTTTTTTTTTTTGGTTACACTACTTTTTAGCTATTGGGACCAAGGCTACTGTAAACATTTGTGAACAATTTAAATTTTTTTTCAGCTGGGTGTGGTGGTGCAGGCCTTTAATCCCAGCAGTCAGGAGGCAGAGACAGGTGGATCTCTGTGAGTTCGAGGCCAGCCTGGTCTACAGAGTGAGTTCCAGGACAGCTAGGGCTACACAGAGAAACCCTATCTAGGGAAAAAAATTGTTTTCTTGCTTTGTTTTTTCTACATGTACATGGCCCCTCCCCCAACCCCCACCAACATAGTGCACATGTGGAGGTCCGGGGACAACTCTGAGGTTGTCTCCTTTGACCCTCTGGGTCCGGGGATTAAACTGAGGTAGTCAGGCTTGGTTGGCAAGAGCCTTTGCCAATTGAGCTATCTCACTGGCCCCGTTTGTGGACAGCCTTCTGAATCCTTGCATCAAAATCAACAGTAAAAAATGGAGAAGTTCCTGGTGTGGCGGCACACTTTTAATCCTAGTACTTGGGAGATGGAGGTGAGTTTCAGGACAGCCAGGTCTACGTAGAGAGACCTGTGGAAAGGAAGAAAAGAAGGCTTTTGGCTGACAGTTTGGTTAGTCAGTGCTTTGAACTAACCACTTTCCTTTTCTGGACCCATTTCTTCTGACTCTGCGTCAGCTGTTGATCTCACTGCCGCTCTGATGTGACAAGTCATTTTCTCAGCCCGCCTTCCAAGACTGCCTCTTAGTACCTGGCTTACATATCATTCTCTGTACATGTATCCTAGGTGGGCTTCATTGAGGTCAAAATGTGTAGGCAAGTGTTTTCCGTGGAATATGGGATTTATTATCCTGCCATTTTTATTTCCTCTCCCTTTCTTTCCACCATTTCTTTCTCTGTACTTTTTACACAGGTGTCAGTCCTGAGGGCACCTCACATTTCTCTGAGGCTCTCCTCAAACTACATAATCTCATTTTGTATTGTTAAACAGGATTTCACATAGCTTGGGGTGGCCTCAGACTTACTCTGTAGCAGAATATAACCATGAACTTCTGATTCTCCTGCCCAGGAGCTTTACAGGCATTCTTCACAATGCCTAGCTCAAACTACATAATCTCTGTTGTCTCCAAGACTGCTGATTCTTTTGCTAGCTCAGTTTTGTTGTTGACCTCTTAAGTAAATTTTTTATTTTGCTTATTTTTCTCTCAAACTCCAGAATTTCTGTATGGTTATATAGCTTCTGATATCACTGTTGAGATTTTTTTCTCTGATTTTTATTTTATGTTATGAGTCTGTGTCTGTATGTGGAAATCAGCATGTGAGTGCTGATGCCTACAAAGGCCAAAAGAGAGTGTAATCCCCCCCCCCATAGCTGTCATTATAGGCAGTCATGAGACACTTGACATGGGTGCTGGGATCCTCTGCAAGAGCAGTATTCATTCCTAACTGCTAAAGCATCTCTCCAATGCGCTCGCTCGCTCTCTCTCCCTTCTCTCTCTCCCTCTCCCCCCTTCCTTCCCTCCCTCCCCCCCCCCCCCCCCCCCGGTCTCATTTAATCTTACCTTTAAGTGTTAAGGGTTAGAATAAGCCACTTGTTAGCTAAAGGTTTTGCCAAAGACCCTGTATTACTTTTTTTTTTTTTTTTTTTGGTTTTCCGAGACAGGGTTTCTCTGTACGTTTTGCGCCTTTCCTGGAACTCACTTGGTAGCCCAGGCTGGTCTCGAACTCACAGAGATCCGCCTGGCTCTGCCTCCCGAGTGCTGGGATTAAAGGCGTGCGCCACCACCGCCCGGCCTTCTTTTTTTATTGCTGTGACCAAGAAGCAGTTTAAGAGAGGAGAACTTACTTTGGCGTAAACATTGGGAGTGGGAGACAGGAAGCAGAGACATGAATACTGGTGCTCAAAAGGCTTTCCTTTGTCTCTTTTTACTCAGTCTAGGTACACATCCAGTGTCTAGGATGGGTCTCTCCTTTCATCTACACCTCTTGGGTATGCCCTCACAGACATGCCAGCAGTGTGCCTTCTCAGCAATTCCTTTTTATTGTTACTAAATTTCTATTTATATAGTTGATATGTGGGGTGTGCACAAGCAGGCGCCACAACACACATCTGGAGGTCAAAGGACAACTTATAGGAGTCAGTTTTCTTCCACCATTTAGGTCAGAGTCCATACTCAGATAGTCAAGCTTGGCAGCAAGCGCCTGGACCTACTGAGCTATCTCAACGGTCCCCCTTATTTGTGTGTGTGTTTGTGTGTGTGTGTGTGTGTGTGTGTGTGTGTGTGTGTGTGTGTGTGCTAACATGCCACTGTACTCATGGAGAGGTAAGAGGACAGCTTTCAGGAGTTGATTCTCTCCTTCCACCATAGTTTCCAGGGATCAGGCCCAGGTCACCAGGCTCTCCCAGCAAGTACTTTTTACCTGCTGTACCTTCTGGCCAGCCCTCTCCTGGGATTCTAAATCAAGTCAACAATGAAGAATAATTGTCGTAGCCCCTTTAACCAATTACATTTTGGTTTTTAATGTGTATGAATGTTTGCCTACATGTAATTAGTGTACTACATGTGTGCAGAGCCTGTGGAAGTGAAAAGAGGTGTCAGATTCCCTGGAACTGGAGTTACAGACAGTTGTGAACTGCCATTGTGGGTGCTGAGAACCAAACCTAAGTCCTAGAAGAGCAACAAGTTCTCTCAACTCCTGAGCCATCTCTCCAGCCCCACTTTTTGGAGTTTTGTTGTTATTGTAATCGTTGTTTACTGATACAGGATCTCATGTAGCCTAGGCTGATCTTGAAACTCATTTTATAGCTGAAGATAACCCTGAAGTCTTCATGTTCCTGCTCTGCCTCCCAAGTGCTGGGATTGCTGGCATAGGTACCATACCTGTCCCAATTAAATGTTACTGTTCTTTTCTTTTGGGGATTCATTTTAAGGCCTCACACATGCTAAACTACTGAGCTGGATTCCAGCCCCACTCATTAGATTTTCTTACCCTTTTACTGTTGAATATGTGTGATATGTGATTTTGACACAGGTAACATAATTCAGAAAGTTTACTTTTTTTGCCCCATACAAGAATAAGGGCTAGTAGCTTGGAAATTCCTTTTCTGTTTTCTTCTGAGGAAGACTAGTGTCTTGATTATGAACACAGCTTGCCTCTTCCAGTATAGAATGTCTCCTCAAAGTTAGAATGGGACAGTTAGGGTCCCAATGTTGCCAGCCTACCATATCAGAAATACAGCATCTATCCTTTAAGCAGAGGAAGCAAACCTCAGTCTTCTCAGCTTCACCAGGTCAAATAGAGCTTCTGCAATGTAGAAAATCAGCATTCCAGAAGAACCTGGAAGAGTCTACCAGAGATACATGATTATATTTTAAGCCTAGCGTCTTAGAGTTACAACAACTTATTATCTGGGCATGGGAATGCATACCTGTTATCCTAGCACTTGAGAAGCTGAGGCAGGAGGATCACTAGTTTGAGGCCAGCCTGAACTACATAAGGAAATCAAAGCCACCCTGTATATGCTGAGATGTTGTCTCTGGAAGGATATTTGGTGGTGAGGGGGCACACTACAGCTTACTGTTATGTGTTCTGTCAGAGGTTATGCTTAAACCCCTGGTGTCAGTGACAGCCTCTAATCAAGCCCCACCCAAATCCTGTTCCAATTGCATCTAGTATAGGCACACACCCTTGCACCCACCAGAGCTGACCATGATTCCAGCAGGGTTCTCCTGCTTTTTCCTCTGGTTACTGTTAAATTCCAGGAGGCTTTGCCAGTTGATATTTGCTCTCAGCATCCTGGCAATTATTCTGCACCAAGAAGATGTCTGTGGTTTTCAGTAGCACCTTAAGATTTAGGATTCTCTACACTTGATCAAATGGACTTCTTGGGTACAGCTGTGGAATCCTTCTTCCTTTAGACTTTTAGTCTGTTTCTCCTAGTGTGACACCCTCTTGCTCTATTAGTAGTAGAATGGTGGCCTCTCATCCTCTTGTCTTTCATTTTCTAATCTAGGACCTCTACTCTTCAAAGAAGATAGAATGGGGTAGTTTGAGCCCCAACATTGCCAGCTCACCATTCCTGGGTAGGCCTTCCACCTGAGAGACCCTGTCTGAAAGAAAGGGAAGGGAGTAAGGAAGGGCTGGATGACACCTGAGGCTGTTCTCTGACATCCATGTACACACACACACAAATCCAAGAACGATTAACAACATCACAGAGAAGTCATATATGAACTGAAATAAGGGGCCAGAGAGATGGTTCAGTGGTTAAGAGTGCTTCCTGCTCTTTCCAGAGGACCTGAATGCAGTTCCCAGAACCCATGTCAGGTGGCTCACAACAACGTATAACTCCAGCTCCAGGGGATTCAACACCTTCTTTGGCCTCTGTGGACACCTGCATACATACATAAGTACAAATAACAACAAAAAATTATAATGACAAAAATAAAAAATCTGGAAGACTGTCAAGATGGTTTGATCAAGTAAAGGTACTTGCTGCCAAGTTTCACAACCTAGGTTTGATCCCTAGAAGCCACAAGGTGGAAGGAGAGAACCAGTTCTGACCCCCACACAGGTACCATAGCACACATGCTTTCATGCACACTGAATAATAAATGAATGTAAAAAAATTTACTCCATGAATACTAGCATAGAAGCCCATGATGATATGTGTGCTCTTGCATGCACATGTGTGTGTGCAGATATTGTTATCTGTGTGTGCATGTGTGTGCATGTGCATTCATGTATGTGTGAGGACAATTTTTGAAGGTCATTTAATGTAAAATACATTTGGAGTCAAACCAACACATAAAGCATGAAGGATGGTTTAAAAAAAAAGTTGGCATTGTTCCCCCGTGGATGGAGATTGTGCTTTTACCTTTTTAGACATGGTTCAAATAACAAACTGGCCTTTTCTTTTTGTTTTCCTCTGTCTGTTTTCCAAAGGTGAGACATGGAACCCCTTCAAATTACAGTACCAGCTGAGAAACGTACGAGAGCGAATTGCCAAGAATCTAGTAGAGAAGGGTATTCTAACCACAGAGAAGCAGAACTTCCTGCTCTTTGACATGACCACTCATCCAGTGACCAATACAACAGAGAAACAGCGACTCGTGAAAAAGCTTCAAGACAGTGTGCTAGAGCGGTGGGTGAAGGACCCTCAGCGCATGGACAGGCGGACGCTGGCCCTGCTCGTGCTGGCCCACTCCTCCGACGTGCTGGAGAACGTCTTCTCCTGTCTGACAGATGACAAGTATGATGTGGCAATGAATCGAACCAAGGACCTAGTAGAACTGGACCCCGAAGTAGAAGGGACAAAGCACAGTGCCACAGAGATGATCTGGGCTGTGCTGGCAGCCTTCAACAAATCCTAAAGCCAGCAGGCGGGTTTCTCCTTTCCTCTGGTGGCTGGTGACTGTCGGAGACCCCATCACTGAGTGTTGTGTAATGAGATATTGTCATCCTTTTTTCCTCTTTTTTGAATCAGACTCGTGACTTGGGGAGGACAACCTCAGGGCCTCGTCATGGGCCATGACCATTCTAAGCAGACTATTTCTCCTCGTACTTCCATTCCATGTCCAAATGAAAGCGGTGAGGCCACGCACATCCAATAAATATCTCCCATTTCTGGGTTTAGTTTTAACCAATGTGCTTTTGGATCAACAGGAGTATCTATGTGGGGTTTAGAGTTTTCCAGCAACAAAATGTGAAGATGAAGAGCAAACTGTATATCCATTTTTTTTCTCCCTTATTCAGGTTTTCTCAGCCTTTGTCTCTTTGACTCTGCTAAACAATGATGCTTACTGACATCGCTGTCTCTTTGAATGAGGAGCAATAGAAATCAGACTAATTTTTGGCCCCTGAGATTGTGCCTCCTGCCTGTGATTTTCTCATCTTTATCTAATGAAAACACTCCAAGTCTGATGACCTGACACCCATAGTTCTAGAAGCAGAAATGTATCCCATGCTCCTTTTTAGCACTATCCTGCTTCCACAATCATTAAGACAAAGTCTGAATTTAAAAAGCAATGTGCCTCAGTCACCTCCTTCATGCAGCCAGCATTAGAACTTGTAGGGAAGGGAGGCAGCAGGAGAATTCACATCTTTGAAGCCAGGTGTAGAGGGACACACCTGTCATCCCAGCAGTTGGGAGATAGTGGCAGAAGGATCTGGAGCTGAAAGTCAACCTCAGCTAGATTAGTAAGTTCAGGGCTAGCCAGGGCTATATGATACCATCTCTCACTCAACAATTAAAGACTTTTCTTTCATCCTTTAGCATGTGACTGTCTTGTTTGCTCCAGACTACTTTAAGTATCTCTACTCTGATTAAGGGAATTTTAAGTTTCAATTCCTAAATAACAGCACTGAGTCCAGACAATGTAACCAAACTCCATGTCTTCATAATCCCTGTTTTTATTTCCTATATAAGTTAAAAAATTCTCCCTGTATTTAAGGGCTTTGACAGTAATTCTGTCTATATTTAATCTACAGGTACCCTCCAAATTGTGTCTTCTTTCAACACGGTCTTCATTCTGTCAGACTTTAAATGTTTCTGCTTCAGTAGTGAGAGTGAAAAGAGACTTTGTTAGAGGAGATGCTATTTAGATGGGTAGTTGAGTGTCAATGGCAGCTGACACAAAGCCTAGGTTTGGGAGCTCTGAAGAGGCCAGCACTTGGTTGTGCTGATTTCAAGCACCCTGTTGACTGCCGGGGAGAAACAGACTGCCACACAGCCAAAACAGATGACTTGAACTCATTCCAAATCCCCCTAATCAGAAGTAAATTGCTCTAACTTCATCTGCTCCCCTGAACCTACCTAGATCCATGAAACTCGTCTAATTCATTGTTACTGTTTTCATTTCATATGTCTCTTAGATTAGTCGAGATATAAGTTGTAATTTGAGAAGCAAGTAGAGCCTTAGTCTGGCTCTCTAGAAGTACAAAAGTCAGCCCATGTGATATCTAGCGGCTTAGCTTGTCTTCCCATTAGAACAATTCGGCATGAATTGAAACCAGGTTTTCCTGTGGAAAGCTTCAGCTTGGTTGGGGGGATAGAAGTTGAGTTCTTTCTTGCAACTCTCAATGTTTATTTTTATATGTCCATAAGATAAGGATGTCATCACTTCAAATCTGTGTAATGTTCACTGCCAAACACTCATTTAGTGTATAATTGCCATCACATTTCTGTATAATAAAGATCAATAGTTATACCCCTCGTCTCTCTGTTCATGGTTTATAACTTCATTAATTGTGGTATGTATTGACAGGGCACAGGAGTGCTGACTTGGGCTCCAGCTAACATCCCAGTAGGGACTCCATCTCAGTCAAAGTAAGTTACCCAGTAATGCCATATTACCACTGAAGAGAATGAGGATGACTTCTGTGAACACATTGCAAATGACATGAGTATGTCTTAAAAAATGAACCTAACAATGCACTGGATAGCTAATGTAACTGTGCTTCTGATTGCCTTATTAATCCTCCCTCAGAGTGTCCACAGCACAAGGAACAGGAAGAAATGTCCTTATTTGGACTGGCTATACTTTGCTATGTAAAATGAACCATGTGGGAGCTGATTCTCCCCTAATACCTTTGGAGTCCCTGGGATTGAACTCCCACCATCAGGCTGAGCCATCTCTCTGTCCTGGTTCCTTGTTTTTAATTTACTGCTTCTACAGATAGTCGATTGGAGAAACAGCTTTCTCATCCCTTGTATTCAATCCACTGCTAAACTAATAAATCGCATGCACACATGCAGCCATTGATTCCCAGACCCTCTTTATCATTTTAAAATCTTTTTTAAAAGATTTATTTTGGCTGGGGGATGGTGGCACAAGCCTTTAATCCCAGCAGGCTGATCACTGTAAGTTCAAGGCTAGCCTGTTCTACAAAGTAAGTTCCAGGACAGCCAGGGATATACTGAGATATCCCTTGTTTCAAAAACAAGCAAAACAAAAAAAGACTTATTTTCTGTGTATGGATATTTTGCCTACATGTTTGTGTACCACATTGGTGTAATTACAGTGGAGACCAGAAGAGGGCCTCAGATCCCCAAGAACTGGAGTTACAGATGGCTCTGTACGTCTTGTGGGTGCTGAGAACCAAACTTCCTCTGTGAGAGCTGCCAGTACTCTTAACTCCAGGCCTCTCCCCATTATTATTTCTTTTCTTTTTAAAATCTTTTAAAGTCAGGGTTTAAGTTTCCCAGGCTGGCCTTGGATTTGTAATTCTTCTGTTTCAGCCTCCTGAGTTGCTGACATTAGAAGCCTGCTGCACCAGGTCCAGCTTCTCACATACTGTTGATTAGGTTTAGTTTTGTATTTTCTTGTCTTCCTTAATTTCTCTTTCTTTTTCTCTTCTTCTCTGCACCCTCCCCTACCACCCCACCACCACCACCCACCACCCCCGTACAGTACTGAGGATTGAACTCATGGTTTCATGCATGCTGGGCAAGTGCTCTACCATTGAGCTGAGCTGTATACATGCAATGCAGTTCTGCTTTGCTCTTAACGACCACATTTCTAGGTTAATTCTAGGTATCTCTTACCTAATGATGGCAGTAGACTTAGGCTAGACCGACCATCTCTAGTGCCTTTCTGCCTAAATTTCTAAACATTTGTATTCATCACCACCAAATTAACCTTCCTGAAAGTCAGTTCTGCTTCTCATTCAATTAAGAAAGCCTTTCACTGATTTGTCCTGGTATTTCTAAATGACCTTTGTCAGGAATACTTTTTTTTTTTAACCTTACACTGCCTATGGGTCTTTGTAAAATTCCTACAGAGCTTTATAAACATTTTATTATGCTTATCAGACTTTGCCTTGTATGATAATAACCTGTGTTTCAGTATTTCTCAGGTTGTCCCATGAGCAGTAAACGTAATGCTATGAGAAATGAACATGTAGCTCCCAAGCCTATCTGTCACAAGAAGTTGCCAAACACAATTGGTTGTGGCCTTTAATCCCAGCACTTGGGAATCAGAGGCAGGTGAGTCTCTAGGAGTTCAAAGCCAGCCTGTCTACAGAGTGAGTTCCAGGACAGCCAGGACTACACAAAGAAACCCTGTCTGGGGGGAAGGGGGAATAACAGGGGGGAAAAAAGAAAAAGCGAAGCTGGCGGTGTTGTTACTAGATAGACTTTGTTTTTGTTTTGGGAATTTAGTATACCACAAGAGAGCAGTGGGTTGTTACCATCAAGACAGTGCCTATAGCCATTATTCCTTGTTGTTTTCTTTTTCTGTTTTGGGGCAGGGTCCAGCTTTGAATTCACTATGTAGCCAAAGATGGCCTTGAACTCCTGATCTTCCTGCCTATGCCTCTCAAGTGCAAGAATCACAGGTGTAGTCTAATGCCCAGCTGTTAGTGTAAGTAAGCACTGCAGCTCTGATGGAAAGGGATCCTGACAGTTGAGAGCCAAGAAATACCACAAAGTCACCTAAGGTAGCAGCCCTGCTCCAGGGAAAGGTTTCCTTGATGTAACAACTCTGCTCAGGCAGGAGAGGCTTTCAGCAGGAGAGGGTTTGTTAGAGCTCTGCTCAGCTCCACTTGGGCTCCAGTGAAAGTCGTTACTCCTCTGCTTTACTCCACTCCTATAAAAGAAGGTCGTCACTCAAACCTCATTCAGGAGATTTCTTGGGAGGAAAGAACCCAGGAGTGTGGCTGCCTCTAGAATGAGGAAGCAGCAAACTGAACAGGGTACAGAGTTTATATAGGGATTGTTGGGGGTCAGTGGAACTTTCCAGGGTAGCTTGCGTTTGCTGGGTTTTTGTGCTCAGGGATTGGTGGGATTTCAATCCCTGTTCTCAAGTTAGGGTCAGGGTGTTTTTCCTTGGCCCTTTTCACCCTACAGTTAGACCAAGTATTCAGAATATAAATATGTAATACTTTTGGACTAACACTCTTAGAAGACTTAATGTTGAGAATTAAAATGCTTTGAAGGGCAGAGGCTGCCTTATGTATATATTCCTATAAAAGTAATACAGTACTATCTACTGACAGATACTGAATTTTCCTTGGTTACTTTTAGTTTTTGAGACAAGGTCGCCTTGTGTAGCCTGTTAGCCTCAAACTCGAGAGATCTTCCTGCTTCAGCATCCTTTGTGCGAGTATTACAGGTTAAGAACTATTGTTGAACTGTGATTCTGTTTACATTAACAGGTATTTAATATATGTGCTAAATGTTTACCATGTACCTAGGACTGCACTCCTAATTCCAAGGATTTAGGTCTCCACAGAATGACTCTTTTTTTTTTGCTTTGTTTTGTTTTGTTTTTACAAGACACAGTTTCTCTGTGTAACTGTCCTGGCTGTCCTGGAACTGGCTTTGTAGACCATACTGGCCTCAAACTCCCAGTGATCCACCTGCCTCTGCCTCCCAAGTGCTGGGATTAAAGGCGTGCGCCGCCGCCACCACCCAGCCACAGAATGACTCTTAATAATTATAATGCCTACATAAAGACTAAAGTGTGGAACGAAAGCCATACAAGACAGCTGGTACAAGCTAGCACTCAAGTCCCTGAAAACTGATGAATATCAATTTGTCCTCCAATTTTTATTTCTGGACGTCAGAAACTTTCTTTGTAACACCGCTCAAAGCTTAATCCTTTGCACCAGGGTTTCCATGTTGGCCCTCTGGTTTGACATTCGAAAGCCTGCCCAAGACCTGGCCAAGAAACTGAAGGAAGCTTCTGCCCACCCAAGAAGCAAAAATACCAAAGCTAGCTATCCTGCCCCTAAGCTCCCTGCAGGCTTCTAATTGGCTCTTATGGCTTGCTCTCTTTCTCCGTTGGTGTTCTAGCTTGCCTGTCAGCTCTGATTCCGCGCCCCCCTCCACCCAACGCTTATTGGTGTGTCGTTACGTCATTGCCCCATCAAGCCCTCTTTGATTGGCTCCCATAGGAGGGGGCGGTCTCAACGTCACGGGCTCGGGCCGCCATTTTGACTGAGCGACCATAGTGACAGGAGCCGAAGCAGCAGCTCAGGTTGTCCCCGTTTCCCCTCCCCCTTCCCTTTTCCGGCTGACTTCCCGGGCCCTGAATTGCACAGTCCCGGTCCTGCCATGTCCCAGAAACAAGAAGAAGAGAACCCTGCGGAGGAGACTGGCGAGGAGAAGCAGGTGAGAGGAGGGGGAGACGGGGGTAGCGCGCGGGCGGAATCCGCCCCCGCCGCCGCTGATTGGCCGCCTCTGCCTCGAGCTCCACAGGGGTTGGCCACTGCTTATGTCGCGCAGGCTGCATTTCGGCGCGGCCTGGTACTCTGATGTCGATTAGTCAAGCCGATTGTCATTCTGTGCGATTCCCTTCCTTATTGGCCAGTAAGCCCTCTAGTCAGTCCGTGGAAGCTGTTCTATAATTGGCCGAGCCCTGGCGTGGGCGGGTGTTTGGAAAGATGAGGCGAATGAAAGGGGGATGGCTGGTGGTCCTAGGGTATAGATGGGCTGTTTGATTAGTAGAGATAAGTGACCAGCCATCAGACTGGAACTCATCCTCAGCCACAGAAAGATACAGGTCAAGGTGAAGACGTTTAAAATAAACCAGAATTGGGGGAGGGGAGAAGAGTAATTATTACCTTGGCTAAGTTCAGGTGGCAACTTCCTCAGACCTATTTTGATAGGGATAGTTTGTTGTTCACCGTCAGCGCCTTGGAGAGCCCCTTGAATTCCTCCTGAGTGGGATATAGTCCACCCACCATCGCATGATGAAAACACTAATGCCAACAAAAGCCCTTCTTGTGCTCTATATTTGAGTTCTTAACACTGAACTTCAGGACGCATTAAATACACTTTCTGTTATATCAGTACCTGAGTTGTCAAGAGAAAAATCCACTAGCCAGGCAATGGTGGTGCAAGCCTTTAACTCGGGAGGCAGAGACAGGTGGATCTCTGAATTCAAGGCCAGCTTAGTCTACAGAGCGAGTTCCAGGACAACCAGGGTTACACAGAGAAACCCTGTCTGGAAAAACAAAAAACAAAACCCAAATCGTTAAAGTGCAGCAAGGGAAGCTGGAACTATAAGTAAATGGTAGACTGTTTTGTTAGCATAACGAGGCTTTTTATAACCCAGTACCAGAAAAAAAAAAAAAGAAAGCAGCCAAGTGTGGCACACCCAGCACTACAGAGGCTGAGGCAGAAGGTGCCTTGGTCATCAGAGTGAGACCCTATCCCCCCAAAAAATAATAATTAAATGAATAAACTAATAGACGTGCCCACAAG